TGTGGGATATGTGGAGTATGTGTGGGGTTGGGGGGGCGGTTGTGTCTGTGGAGGGGATTTATGGGGGAGCTTATGGGGTTGTGTGTGCTTGGGATATGTGGGGAGTGGGGGGCACATGTGGGTATGTGTGGAGAGGGATGTGTTGGGGACGTGTGGGGGGTGAGGTATGTGGGGAGTTGTGGGGTGGTGGGGTTGTGGGTGTGTGAGTATGGTATGTTTTTAATCGCTCCCCCTTTGTGCATCCTGATATATTTTCTCTCCACTTTCATTCTTGACTTTCTGTAATTGTGATTATAAATACCTGGAATGCTGAATCAGCTGCCCTGAGGTGGTGGTAGACATTTTCGCCTCAGTGTGCTGCCGTTGTCACCGGCATCCAGGCCCAGACTCTGGGGCTTTTTGTTTGTTTGTTTGGAAAGCAAAACTCTGTCCCCAGCACCCCTGTCCCCTCCCCCACAACAGCCGGTTCCCCTGTCTCTGGTGTGGAGGTCCCTCTCGAGGCGTCCGTCTTGGGGGCAGGGTCCACTTGACCTCTGTGTGTGGCTCCCTTCGTGCCCCCCAGAGGCCTCACCGGCCCTCTTCCATTTCACAAGCAGGAGAATTGCTTGCCGTGGACAGACAGCATTGGGCGTTTCCGTTCACGTACCCAGGGATGGACACGGGCCTGTCTTCACTCCCTCCCTGGAACACTGGCAGGTGGGATGTCTGATGAGACATGCCCAGCCCTCGGGCCCGGCCTGGCAGGAGCCCTCTCTGAGGAGAGGAGCCTCAACTGGTCCCTGCTCCCTGCCTCGGCTCCCCCTCTCCTGTGACGCACCTTCTGCCGGCTTGCCCCACTGTCGTCTCTTCTTGGGCAGCCCGGCCCGGCTGTGTCCGTCTCCCTCTTCTCTCCCATTCGGTGCTCTGACATCTGTCCTGAGTGGAGGGTCCTGCCAGCAGGTTGTAAAAGGCGTCACAGGACTGAAGAGGTTTGATTCCCCCACCTTGGCCACCCTGACCACTATGGGCGCGGAAGGGCTATGCCTGGTCCCTCCTTCCCACTGACAGACCACTTTCAGGGGCTGAAGAATCCCACTCAGAGCTCCTTTTATTTTTTTTCCCGCAGAAGATGGGACATTTGGGCTCAGTCATACATACCCCAAAGGGTTCACTGCTAATTTAAGGGGGGAGGTGTGGGCCAGGGAGATGACTCAAGGGTAGAGCATATGCCCAGCCCGTGATCCCCACCCTACTCTGCGGGAAGGGACCCCCCACCATGAGCAAAGGGGCCATGGACCCCTTCCCCTCCCCCACAGAACCACACATGCCTCTTCCTGGCGGGTGACTCTAGGGGTTTCCCACACGGAGTCTCTCCTGGACAACCCCACCAGGTTGGCATTCATCTGGCCGAAGTCCTGCAGACCACTCCCTGCTCTTGGGAAATACCTCCGTATGGACTTTGACTCCAGAGGGAAAGCTCTCGAAGGTGGGGTGTGGACAGCCAATGGGTCATGGTGGGAAAGCGTTTTTATGTTTAGCAGGGGAGAAATAGGAGATGCCCCTTGGTCCCAGGGTGGGTGTCCCGAGTGCCTTGCCTTTGGCCATTCATCCTGTGGGGCCCTGTCCTGAATTAGATACCATCTAGCTCCATCTAGGGGAGATCATGACGCCCCCTTGGTGGGGCTCAGCTCTCAACAGGGTCGGCCTCGGTTAACCATCAAGGTCGCAGGTCACAGGAGACAGAAGTTCTGAGATGGGGACTGACTCTCCACTGGGGTCTCACTGCCACCAGGGAAACCCGTATCGGTCCCTGGAGGCAGCCCTCGTTGTGCCCCTGCCTGCTTGTCCCGGGGAGTTATAAAAAGCACAGGGAAGTGCCCCCATGGCTGGCCCTAACGCAAGCCTGGTTTTGAATCCGACTGAGAAGATTTCCACGAACGCAGCCTCTGCTGCTCCTTCCTCTGCCCTGGTTTGTTTCTAATGTGCCGCTCAGTATTGGGCCGCTCCAGGCGCTTTTGAAAAACTGTTAAACTAGGAAATGAGATGGTGGAAGACTCCGGTCCAGCTGCTTCTCCATCCCTGGGAGCACAGTACTGGGAGCCCGGCACTTGGCGCTTAGCAGCTGCCGGACCCAGCTGGGGGCGTGATGACGGCTTGCAGTAGGGGACAGGGTAAAACTGTGTTTTTCATCAAGCACAGTTTAACATAAGGACAGTGTTACAGTCTGGGGCAGTTGTTCTTTACTATTTTCTTTTTTGAAGTGTTAAGAAGCCCTTAGAGGAAATGTTTACAATAAAGGATGGTATGGGCTATATTTTATTGTTGCTGCAGCCTCGCGCTTTCTTGGCCAAATAAAATGCTGTCAGTGGTGTGGCTGTTTTCTTTGTGATTGGACTTATGGGTGAAAATTTGAACTCTGAAAATGAGCCCTATTTTAGAGCCCTCGTGTTCACACTGTACCTCTGTGGCCTGGATTTGGGGGAAATGGGGCCGCATTGGACAGTGCCTGGGACTCTTCACCCCACTTTCAGTTGAAGACGCCCTTCTGCCCTTTCCTACTTGCTTTCTATTTTTTTTTGGATGGGGGATGCTCTCTCTGCCAGGCGTGTGAGACCGGGAGTAGAGTAGAGGGAGGAATGATGTTGCTTTGGTAGGCCTGAGCCAGCTCTAGTCTTCACCTGGGGGGGGGGGAGGGCAGAAAGAGAGAGAGTGGGGGGAGGAAGGGAGGGAGGAGGGGGGGTGCTTATGAATGGCAGGATGGTATGTTTATTTAGGGAGTTGATTCATGGACTTGGAGGTGGCTGGCAAGTCCCAAAGCTGCAGGGCCGGATGGCTGCCTGGAGATGAAGGGAAGAGTTGATGGTTCAGGTTCAAATCCCAGAGGCAGAATTCTTCCTTCTCTAGGCACACCAGGTTTCTCTCTTTTCCACATCTCCAACTGATGAGACAGGGCCCACCCATGTTCTGGTGGTGAATCCACCTTACTCAGCAACTATTGATTTTATGATGTGAGGATGCAGAAGACATCAGATTTAGGGCCACAAGAAGATAAATAACACTTAGATTTAAGTTGGTCTCTGAGCGTATTGTTTATTTTTATTTGCTTTTTAAAAATGCTTATTTAGACACTGTGATTGGCAAAATTACCTAGAACAGGGTTTGAGGCAGACAGTAACTGTATCCTACAAATGAGCGCAATCATTCTATGTCGGTCCCATTCATTCTATGACTGGTCCCACCTCCAGTCTCAGCACCTGGTGACAGCTCCTCTCACCTGTGGCCTCAGGTTCCCTCCCACCCCGCAGCCTGACTCCTTGATGGCTACTTTTAGTTTGAATGATTGTAGTGAGGGTACCGTGCTTTCAGTATGGGTTGGTTCGAGTGTTGGTTCTGGCGATTTAGAGATACACAAGTACCTCGTCTCTACACCAGACTCCTCTGTCCCTTGCCCCTATGATACTACCACACCTTCTCTTCTTGCTTTCTCCTTCGCTTTTCTCATTCCTTGGCATTTTCCCCTTGTAAGCCAGAGGCAATGTTTTGCCCATCCCTGAGATTTTCTATATGCCACAGATCAGCGAGACATCTGGTTTTTGCCCTTGTCTTTCTGACATACTTCACTTAACACAAAACCCTCCGATTCCATCCAAGTTGCAGGAAATTGCATGGTTTCCCCCTTCCTTGTGGCTGCATAGTATTCCGTTGTGTCTGTAAACCACAGCTTCATGATCCGTCTGTCACTGGACACCCACATTGCTTCCATAGCCTGGCTAAGTGCTGCAAGGGACATAGGTTTGTGCATATCTTTCTAAGTGGATGTTTTCATGTGCATTTCCTGCTTTTCTGTGCATAATAACATTCATGACTTTGGGAAAAGAGAGGGAGGTGGGAGCTCAGGAAAAAATGAAACAAAACTTTTCTGAATATCATCTCACGCCACAGAGACTGGCACACATCAAAAAGAACATGAGCAACCAGTGCTGGCATGTATGTGGGGAGAAAGGGACTCTCCTTCATTGTTGGTGGAAATGCTGACTCATCTAGTCTTTTAGGAAAACAATTCGGGCGTTCCTCAAAAAACTAGAAATTGAGCTTCCATACGACCCAGCAATACCACTTCTGGAACTCTATCCTGGAGGCCGAAAAACACAGCAGAAATACCATCTGTACTTCTATGTTCATCGCAGTTCTATTTGCAATAGCCAAAATCTGGAAACAGCCCAAGTGCCCAAGAACATGATTAGTTAAAGAAACCCATGATAGATCTGTACAGTGGAATACTATGCAGCTGTTAGGAAAAATGAAGTTATGAAATTCGTTTTTAAATGGATGGACATGGAGAGTATCATGCTGAGTGAAATTAGTCAGAAGGAGAGGGACCGACATAGAATGATTGCACTCATTTGTGGGATATATATATATATATATATATATATATATATATATATATATATATATATATCACATAAGATGAGACTAAAGTAGAAACAAGGGCCAGGAGGATTGGTCTGCAATTGAAAACCTACCTCAAGTGCTAGAGAGAAGGCAGTTGGGTTAGAGAAGGGACCACTATGACAAAGGTAGTTGGAAATGATCATTCTGGACAAGAACTATGAACTGAAAATAGATACAGGAACGGACATCATAACCTCTCAATATCTGTATAGAAAACCCTTAAAGGTGGGGGAGGGAGTGGAGGGGCCGGGGGACAGAGACAGAGACAGAGAAGAAAGAAGTGCCTTCCATAGAGGCGGCTGCTGAGGGGCAGAAGAGAACCTGGGGACATTGGTAGTGGGAAATGTATACTGGTGGAGGGATGGTGTTGGAATATTGTGTGACTGAACCCTGACCATGAAGAGCCTTTATAACTGTGTATCTTGGTGATTCAAGTAGGAAAAAAAAAAAAGGATATTCTGAAGAAATCCGGGGGCTCTGTGAAAATGCTTGCCGCTCTCAGCCTCTCCCTTTCCCTCTTTCTCACCCTCACTAACGCCTCGTCTCATTCTCTCCTCCTCCCCCAGACGCGGATGCAGAGTTTGAATCCAGATCCCAAAGCCCAGTACACAAGCATCTATGGAGCCCTCAAGAAGATCATGCGGACTGAAGGCTTCTGGAGGCCCTTGCGGGGCCTCAACGTGATGGTGATGGGCGCGGGGCCGGCCCACGCCATGTACTTTGCCTGCTATGAAAACATGAAAAGGACTTTCAATGCCGTTTTCCACCACCAAGGAAACAGCCACCTAGCCAACGGTATTTGAGCGTTTGTCTGGAGTTAGAAAGTTCTCTCCTTCAACAGACCTTTCCCCAGGGCCCTCCTCCCCGTGACCCAGCAGCCTGACGCCTCAGCTCCGCCTCACTTGCTTATGAATAAAGAACTCCAGAGCCGCGTTGTGCGGGCACACCCCAACACACTCAGACACACACGCACACAACAGACCTTTTTCTTTTTTTTCTGTTCCCTCCTTGGTTTTCTGAAGCCTGGGGACAGTCGGTTGACAGAGGTGTTTCAGTTTTATTTTTATTGTCATTTGGGTTTTTGCAGTTTTTAAGAAACATTTAAAAAAAAACATTCAAAAACAAATAATGATCAGATCTAGGAAAACAAAACAAAACCCTGAATAGAAATACAACTTTTGAATGCTGGCTTCAAAAAAAAAAAGTTATCTGGACAGCTTCTTTGAGACTATTTAAAAACTGGTTCTACAGGTCTCTGCATCGTCAAGATCTAACTAAGCTTTAAAAGGTCAAGAAGTTTTATGGCTGACAAAGGATTTGCTGCAGCACGGAAGGCCTTCCCCACCTTAAGCTTCTGGGGATTTGGGAATTTCGCCCTCATTCACTTCTGTTGATATGAGTTGCACCTCTGCAGGAAAAGGGGGAGATAGTTCGATTGCTTTGAGGGAGGGGCGGGGAGGTGGGGTCTGGTTGGCGGGCAGCTGGGGTCGGACCTTGGCTTGTTGTCCAGGCCAGGTCCTCGCTGAGTGGTGGGTTTTGCCTTTTCTTTTGTCGGTTTTGCTGGGGTATGACATGGGATTGGGGATTGAAGGGTATTTAGTCTAACCCGGTTCATTTTTCCCCGCACTGCGGAGGTAAGTGTAAGTGGCAGCAACTTTTCCCCGTTTTTCTTTGTTTCACTCAGAACCAAAGGCACCACTTCCACCCGTGAACCTAGATAACCAGCTAGCCTGGGGCTGGCCTGTGGACACGTGTTCTGCATTTTAAGTGTTGGCCCCGAGTTGCATCTGTTGAGGGGGTCCGCCTGTCCAGATGCTTGTCCTGTTTCTGTGGCCTTGGAACCATTTTGCGGAAACTGTCTTTATGTCATCAGTCCTTGGCCATGGAACCCTTTGAAGGGGCTTTGTCCCCCTGTCCCCCCATTTTATGCCGAGCTGTGCCCAGCACTGTCTTCCTTCATGGCGGCGTGTGCTGGGGTGCGTTTTGACCTTCCTGGGGATCAGAGTGGGGGGGGTGGTTTGTGGTCTGTGTCTGCATTTCTGAGGTGCTCTCTGTCTCCCTTCTAGAGGGGATCTCCTGTATGGGCAGTGACCCCCGAGGGAGGTGGAAACTCAGAGCCCTAAGCTAAAGTCTCAGGCTTTGAGGCTTCTAGAGTTTCTGCTTTTGGACTCCAGGCCAGGCAAACTCCTCCAGTGCACAGGTCAGCTCCAGAAAGTTGCACCTTTGAAACTAACCCACACTGGCTGTTTTCTTAAAAATGCCCGAATTTTGCCTCAGAATTTGTACTTAATGGTTTCTTATGATTTTTTTCCCCCTGCTTGGTCATGTGCCTGATATCTGATTGTCCTTGCTTAAGGGCCAAGTGAGCCCATTTGGAGAGTAGGGCCAGGGATGGGGGAAAATAAGATCTAGATCAGTGTTTCTCAGTGGGGGTGGAGGGCTTGGGGGTTGTTAGGAGATTTCCAAGGGGGCCACAGGTAAAAATCATGTGAATGGGGAGCCATGGCATGGGTCTTGGGGACCAACTAACTGGTAAGACCTGGCAGGGGTGGAGCATAGGAAGGAAACAGGTCAGAAGGGAACCCAGATCTGGAAAAGGTGGAGAAACACAGGCAGTGGGAACCTCTGGGTGCCATTAATTCCAAAGGGTGCAGCAGGAAAAGGCTGGAATTAATGCTTCGATGCCAGTGATTCAAGGAGACATTGCACCTATGTCTTTCCCCGACATCTCCTCGGTCACTTGGGAACTCAAACCTCAGTGCTCACCTGGGTGGAATTGTGGTACATTCTGATTGTGAGAGAGAGAACAGTGTCCTTGGATCCATCTGACTTTAGGCTCCAGGCACTTCCTCAGCACACCCATCCCGGAGGGTAATTTTCTGGAGTTTGTTTTGCAGGCATAGCTGGGAGTATGGCCACTCTGCTGCATGATGCGGTAATGAATCCAGCAGAAGGTAATGTTCTTGGGCCCAGGGAGCGGCCATGGGGGATGTGCAAGGGGCAGGTGGTAGATGTGGGACTGAAGGTCAGCCAGGGGGCTCCTGGCTCCGGCCAAAATAAGGAGGAGAATTCTTTGCCTCCTTATTTAAAAAGCCTTGAGGAAGGCCTGAGCCTGGGAGCTGTGTGGACTTCCTGTTGCTCAAAGTGTCGTCCCCGGACCACCACCGGCGTCTCTCGGGCAGCATGTTAGAAGTGCTGATTCTTGGGATCCACCCCAGGCCAGTTGCAGAGGCTCTGCCAGAGGAGTATGTTTTAACAGGCTCTGCTGGTGATTTCTTTGCACGTGTTTGCTGTACGCTAGAGCCTGTTTGTGCACGCGCCCGAGAGTTTTTCCTGGAATGTGCCCTGGGGGGGCGTTATACAGTGGTTCTAACCCCACTGAGCACTCCCGACTTGTCAGCTCTTTCTAGACAGGGAGGGCCTTGGGGCTGCTGCCGGCCATCTTCTCAGCTGGCCCTTCTGTGTGTGACACGTGGTATTCGTGGGATTCGTTTCTCCCCCACCTTTAAGTTACCCCTTGCGGGATTCAAAGTATTAACATTTTGTGTCTTGTATTATCAGTTTGCCTGTTTTTTTTTTTTTTTTTGGTTTTGTAATGTTAAAACTGCTTGTTTGCCCTCAGCTGAGTCTTTGGCCCAAACCTAAGGGGACTGAGTCTGTCTTTGAGGGACCTGAGGAGTCCCACTGGGAGGTGGGCTTGTGTGTGTGGGGGGGGGGGGGGGGGAAGGGTGATTTCTGCAGCGAATTGATCAGTGACTCCCTTGTTCACGTTTACCTAGCAAAAATTTTGTTTATATTTTTCAAAAGAGGGAAAAGCGAGATTCAAACTCTGCTGCCTTTTCCTTGACAGACATGCTGTTGGTTAAAGGACTTCATTCCTTTAAAGAGTAGAGAATAGGGGTAGTAGGTGGGGAGGAAGTGATAGTACAGTGGTTAAGGAGTTTGCCTCCTATGCTGCTGACCCGGGTTTGTTCTCCGGCATCCCATAGGATCCCCTGAGCACCACCAGGAGTGATTCCTGAGTGCCAAGTCAGGAGCATCACCAGGTGTGACTCAGAAAGCAAAAAAAAAAAGAAAAGTAAGGAATGCTGTGTCAGGGACACAAGGACTATACCTCAGGGACCACAGTTGGCCCTGTTTGCCTGTGTCCTTTGAACCACCAGTTACTTCCTTGTTAACAAAGCCAAGGGTCTTTGTTGGATTTTGTCATTGAACTTGGACTCATCTAGACCTTGGGTCTCTTCTGAGGGCCCTGTGACCTGGAAGCGAAACGGTCTGTTTCCACTGAGAGATAACAGAACACTGAGCATAAAAGACGGAGCTCACGCGTCCATGGGCAGGACTGAGGCCAGCAGGTTTTGGGGCTGGGCAGGAGTAATTTTGTCGGAGATGTGGAAGTTACAGCCTGCAATGTCCAGGCTTGGGGGGTGAGGTCAGGGAGAGTGTCCTGTTGGGGGCTGCCGCGTCAACAGCCACCTGGGGCTCGATTCAGGCCGGAGAAGCCGAGCTGTAGGAGGGGACCGAGACTGTGTTTTCAGAGGGTTTGTTGGCCATCCTCGGTGACTCCCTCAGGCGGGGGCGTGTGCGTGCTAGCTCTTGGTGGCCCGTTGTTTGCCGTGCGTCTATCTAAACTCACTGTTTCTCTTTATGGCCTGGCGTCCCATTCCTCTCCGACCCCGTGGGGCCCAACCAACTGCCACTCACTGCGCATCCGGCCACAGTGGTGAAGCAGCGCATGCAGATGTACAACTCGCCGCACCGCTCGGCCCTCAGCTGCGTCTGGACAGTGTGGAGGACCGAGGGCTTGAGGGCCTTCTACAGGAGTTACACCACGCAGCTGACCATGAACATTCCCTTCCAGTCCATCCACTTCATCACCTACGAGTTCCTGCAGGAGCAGGTCAACCCGCACCGGGGCTACAACCCACAGTCGCACATCATCTCAGGAGGGCTGGCCGGGGCCCTGGCCGCGGCCGCCACCACCCCACTGGATGTCTGTAAGACCCTCCTCAACACCCAGGAGAACATGGCCCTCAACCTGGCCAACATCAGCGGCCGGCTCTCGGGCATGGTGAACGCCTTTCGGACCGTGTACCAGCTCAACGGCCTGCCCGGCTACTTCAAAGGCATGCAGGCGCGCGTCATCTACCAGATGCCCTCCACGGCCATTTCCTGGTCCGTCTATGAGTTCTTCAAGTACTTCCTCACCAAGCACAAACTGGAGAGTCGGACTCCGTACTAAAGGAAGGGGCGGTGGAAGCCATGCCGGAACCCTTTATTTTCCAAGGGCTTGCCCTGCCTGCGGCCGTTCCCTTGCCTCCTCCCCAGATGGTGTTTTTCAAGGGGTGTTTGCAGGGCGGGCCTTTCGAGAGGCCCCTTGATGCCTTCGAGAAAGGGGGACCAGACCGTCACTTCCTGGAAGGTCTGCAGGGACATCCATGGCGGTGGCAGGAGGGGGCAGAGGCTCTGGACGGAGAGTGAGGATTTGCCTTGCGTTTTCCTCCCCGGTGAGGAATGTAGCTTTTCTGCTTCGCTCTCGCAGTCTCCTCCCAAGAAACGTAGATCCACACGGGAGGGAAGAAAATGTGCAGAGAGTGAAAACATGAAAGAAAAAAATGTATATAAAAGTTCTAGTACACAGCAGAAAATAGATGGATAATGTTTATCCTTTATTTTTCTATGTAGAAGTTTTTGGATTTGTGTGTGTTTGTGTGTGTGTGTGTGTGTGTGTATGTACACGTATGTGTACAATTAAGTGTTACAGCTGGGAATATAAAGCTGTTTTAAAAATCAAAACAAAAAAATCAGAGGGCTGAATTCTTCCATTGGGTTAGGTGGAAAAAAAAAAGGCACCAAAGGAATCAGTTGCCAAACACAGTCCTATAGTTGTGCCGAGCCTCCAAATGGAAGTTTGACTTGAATGTAAAGTAATAAAGTTTATAATTTGAATTTCTCTTTTCGTGGTGGGGGGGGAGGAGAAAGGGTACGTTTAAAACAATCAAAACGATGAGTTCTTTAGTCACTTACCTTCGTGTGCCTTTTCCCTTCCTTTCCTGAAAGTTGCAGTCTGGTGTGGGTGCATTTGCTCTGCTCTAAACCAGGCACAAATACCAGGTGACAGGATGACCCCTGGGTGGGGGGGACATGGCCCCCAGTGGAATGCAGATGACTCATCTCACCCACCAAGACCTTTAGCTTCCCTCCAGAGGCTGGAATGCATGCTCCCGGGCCCAGCACTTAGAGTTCCCGAAATGCTTTCTTTTGGGACAGGCAATTGGCATCAATGCTGCTGCCTCCAGCCTGGGACTTCTTTCCACATCAACCTTTTGCTGCAGGCACTTTTCAGGTATTCTGGACCTTGTGTCTCTTGACCAAAACTTGTTTCCAGTGAAGTTTGAGGAGTTAAAACCCCACAAAAACGTGGCCAGTGCATCTCTGGCTTCTCTCTCTCTCTGTGCCTACCACTGATTCCTCACAGAGCTCCCCGCAGCGGATCCAGGCCTTAGGGCCAGCCCTGCTGCTGAAGCGGGACCTTGCACACTCACCAGGACACCCACCCCCACCCCACCCAACCCCCAGCCATCTCCAGCCTCTCTTGGTTGGTGTCTCCTGCGTCCTGAAATGGGGCCGCAGAGCTAGATTATCTCGGAGAAAATGCAGGCCTGTTTCCTCCAGCCTTGCCCTGCGATTGGCTGCCAGGTCTCTCCAAGGCAAGACCAAATGACTGGATCATTTCCTTTTGGAGCCTCTCTTTAAAAAAAAAAAAAAACCCAAGCAGGAAGCACGTGTGTTTTCACGCTGGAAGGCCTGGTCCTGACCTTGACCTGGTCAGACATGGTCAGTGTGAGGAGCAGACCCAGGCTCTTCCTGACTGTGGCTTCCTGCAACAACTCTGGTGGCACTGGACAGTTTTCCTCTCGAGACCTCTTGCAACAGTGCCTTGGGGCTGCTTCCCCCCTAAGGAGTGCCACCTCCACACTTCAAGTGTGTGTACCTTCGGGCAGGGCCCTGCTCCAGGGCTGGGGGGCCCAGCTGTTGCCCCGTCCCCCTTGGGAGCTGACCCCAGGAGGAAACCAGGGCAACAAGTTCTGTCCCCTGGGGCTGCAGAAAGCCCCTGGACTCACTGCTGCTGTCAGAAGTGTTTACATCTGCTCCTACTATCTCCTACCTGCCTTTTAATATGCTGGGATTGGAGCAATAAGCAGATTGAATTCTTTTTTTTTTTTTTAATCGATCCACTACTGCAAGAACTGTCTTTATTTCTTAGAGGATTTTGTTTGCCATGCTTCACCTCTCCGGGAAGTCTCCTTTAAAAGGCACTCTCTCTCTCTCTCTCTCTCTCTCTCTCTCTCTCTCTCTCTCTCTCTCTCTCTCTCTCTCTCTCTTCGCTTTTTGGGTTGTGGTGGCAGTGCAGGTATCCTGGAGAGAGGTAGGGAGCAGCTTTCCAAACCCACAGGCAGCTCTACCCACTGTGCCTTCCCCTCTCAGTCATCAGGAGCTGAATGAGCCACTTCCCGAGCAAGCTTTGAGAGCTGCTGAAACACTCAGTAAAAACAAGCGATTGTTGGTGTTGAGGGAGTTTCCCTCACCTCCTCCGACCACCACCAGAGTTAGTGGCGGAACCCACACTCATCACAGTCTCTGGGTTGATTGTGACTTTGGGGTTGGGGAGGACTGAAGTCCACACCCCTTTTGATGCCCAGCTGAGCGAATCATGGTGGGGACTCGGCCACTCCTCTCCGGGGACTGCCCTGCAGCCGGTCCCACCCTCACACTGTGTGTGCACTTCTGTGTCCTTACCTGTGCATGAGCCCTGCTCAGATGATGATGTGAATTCCCAGCCACTTCTGGATCCATTTTAAGGTGGAATTTTTTTGTTTTGGATTTCCCCCCCCCCCTCGGATTATCTTTATTTTTTTTTATGATAGAATTAAAATGGATTGAAAATAGGATAAATCTTCGTGATTGTTTCCTGAACTTTGGGTTGAACCTAGCAGTTTACTTGGCCACCAGCCTCGTGTGATTTCTGTTTTTTTGTGTTCGAATGCCAATGTCTTATTTCAAGTGCTCCCCTTCCAAACTCCCCCACCCCCCCAACACCATTCCCCCTGTTCCGCCCTGCGGGACTCCATCTCCCGTGCCTTCTTCCAGTTGGGTTTTATTTATCTTTATTTAAGGACGATTGTGCCTGTTCAATGCGAATGTACTGCTGCTTCCAACCTGTGAGATGCACAAACTTTATTATAAGGATGGACAAGTGTGTGTTGTGAAGATCCCTGTTCCCTCCTCGCAGCTGTTGCCCTCTTTGGAAAGGGGAGGACTGTGTGTTTTGGGGTGGAGATGTTTCTGATATGCTGCTACAGTTGTGACACTGGAGCGAGAGAAAAAAAAAAATAAAGCCTTGATCTTTGAAGTGTTGTGGGCTCTGTGCTGGGAATATGGGAATCATACTGCAGGGAGAGGGTTCCCTGATTTCTGGGTTCTGCCTCTTCCCGTATCACCCAGGACCCTGATGGGAAATGCCCCACACTGGAGGCCCCACACTCCTCAGCACTCTGAACCGAGGGCCGAGGCCTGAGGCTGGAGCCTCTGCTGGGGTCCACTCCCTAGCTGTGAGGTGGAGGCTGCAAGTGAACAGCTACATCTGTGGTCCAGGCTCTGTCCTCAAGCTTGGCTGGGAGGAACTGGGAAGCTGTGCTGAGTCAGCTGTTTAGGGCCTATGCCATTCTGGGGTGCTAAGCCCTTGACTAAGAGTGCCCTCTGCGGCTCCCTCTCTGGCACCCCAAAATATGACCCCTGGGGCAGGGCTTGCCTTTGGATTTCCTACCCTCTCGCTTGGTGCTTGTCTGCCTTCATGGCTTCAGCTGGTTCCTCTGGAAAGATGATTCCCAGACACGAGCTAGGTCACCCTCACTTTCCGTTCATCCGAGTTCCAGGTCTTGGGGCTTCCTTGAGATGCCTCATTCCTGTTCATGTGCAGAGAGCTCGCCTATAGTTCAGAGGGGCTGGCACCACTCCCCAGGATTCTTGACACTAGGGTCACAGCCAACAGTGCTTGGGAGCTCTGTAGCTCCAGGGACCCAATTCAAGTCCCCATTTTTCAAACTTATCCTCAAGTCAGGTGATTCCCACTCTTGCTGCCTGAAGTTTTCTGTGCAGCTTGCTCACGGTTTCTAAAGGGTTTGTCATGCTCCCTAAGAATTCGCTTCCCTGCATACCACTGGGCGCCACCTACACTTTACACAGAAGGGTGAAGAATGGTGGCACAGTCTCTTGGGTCTTCATCTCCAGAGTGATGCTGTGGTGTCTGTCTGGGTCTTTGCTCCCATTACGTGTCCCTTGCCCTTTCCCGGCTTCCATCCACTCTCTGCCCTCTGTAAAGTTGCAGGAGGTCTGGATTTGGATCCTGGCACTGTAAGGTTCCCTCAAGCACCTCAGAGAGTGACCCCCCAAACTCAGCACTGCTAGTTACCCTTCAGCACCTATGGGTGTGGCCCATCTCCCCTCCTCCACACCTTTTGTCCAAAAAAGACTACCCCAGGCTAGGCTGACACTTACTTCCTTATCCAGCTAGATCTGACCCAGCCTAGGCTTGAAGCATGCAGGGCTTTGCATTTTTCCTGCAGGCTGGTTGAGTTCTCCTGAGGACCACCCCTGACTGGACCCTCTGTGGCCTGCTGGTCCCGAGAGCTGGGAGCAGGGCAAAGGGACGCGCTCACCAAGGCACTCGGAGGCTGCCACTTCATTCACTCTGGTCTCTGTAGCCCGGCAGTATGGATTCCTCTCCTTTCTGCCAAATCTTTGTATTTGGCAGACTGAAGTCCTGTGGAGCTGGGAATGCCTTTGGGGCATGGAGCTCTGGAAACACTCCCGTAGTTCCAGTATTCCTGCTCTGGAACTGGAATTCAGGATTTGGCACATATCAGGGGTGTGATGGCAAAAGCCGCAGGAAGGTGAGAATGGAGGGCCAAAGAGAGTAGGGGACTTACCTTGCTTGCCACTTACCATGCCTGTTTTGATCCTCCACACCTCATGGTCTCCTGAGTCCTGCCAGGAGTGATCCCTGAGTGCAGAGGTAGAAATAAGCCCTGAGCACTACTTGTGTGCATGCCCTCACCCTCCTGCCCACCCAGTGCCCCCACCAAAACAAACAAACAAAAAAAAAAAAGGAAAAGGAACCAGGTGGAATGCTTACATTTAAAATGAAAAGAGAGTGCAGTGGTAGGGCACTAGCCTTGCATACAGCTGGCCAGTTCTATCCCTGGCACTCCATATGATCCCCTGAGCCTACCAGGAATGAACTCTTAGCATTGCTAGAAGTGGCCTAAAGAAACAACAAAACTTGGGACTGGAGCAATAGCACAGTGGGTAGGGTATTTGCCTTGCACGCAGCCAACCCGGGTTCAATTCCCAGCATCCCATATGGTCCACAAGCACCACCAGGAGTAGTTCCTGAGTGCAGAGCCAGGAGGAATCCCTGAGCATCGCTGGGAGTGACCCAAAAAGCAAAATAATAAATAAATAAAAGACAAAAACCAGGAGAGAAACCAGAACTGGAGAGATTAGAATGGTCAAAATTATGAAGGCTGCCAAGATTTAACAAGGAGGAAAGAATTTGGTGTCTCTGCTTTGGTGTGATGTCAAAGCAACTAAAGCAAGTGTGTGTGGGGGGGGGGCAGTCAGTGCCCCTATTGTCCCTCCCCTCATATTTTTTCTTCTTTGGGTCATACCCTGTGCATCACACAGTGGGGGTTACTCTTGGCCCTGCACTCAGAAATTACTCTTGACGGTGCTCAGGGGACCATATAGAATGCTGGGAATCGAACTCCCTACCTGCTGTGCTATTGCTCCAGCCTCCTCATCCTCTTTAACTGCCTCCAAGTCCAGTTACAACCCAGAAGCTGCTAATACACCAATACTAGTAGCTTCATTGATCCTTGCTTATTCTCTAGAACACCCAGTGACTTTATCCAGAGTTTAGTTTGTATCTGTCAAGCAGCTCAATAGTCAGTTCTCAATCTTCCGGTGAGGTCTAGGGCCAATAGTGGTAGGTAATTCTCATGTCTCCCCTCAAGATTATGATATAAGGGGCTGGAGTGATAACACAGCAGGTAGGGCATTTGCCTTGCATGCGGCTGACCCGGGTTCGATTCCCAGCATCCAATATGGTCCCCCGGGCACTGCCAGGAGTAATTCCTGAGTGCAGAGCCAGAAGTAACGCCTGAGCATCACTGGGTGTGACCCAAAAAGAAAAAAAATTATGATATACATGAAATCTGGGGAAATAGTACATCAATGGTATCATGATTACTAGAACTGATCAGGCAGTTGTCCTGAAAGGAAGAACCAAGAAAGCGTATCAGCAGGGTTTACTGAATCCTGAATCTTATCATTTACTGTGGTAGAAAAATTTCCTCTACATAGAACACAAGGCTGTAAGCCCCACGGAGCTCCAGTGAGCTTCGGTTGCCAAATGTGCTCACTGGGAAATGTTCTTCGATTCTTACCGTCATGCTTCATCTGATCCAGTTTCCTCTTTTGAAGAGATTATTTTTTGCTGAGTTGGCTTAGATCAAAATCTTTGTTTATTGATGCAATCTTGAATTTCCACTTTGGCTTCTAAAGTCTTTTGTTTCAGCAAGTTTGTCAAAGCTAAATTTTGAAAAGACTACAATTGCTTTAAGCGAATCAATACAAGGATAATTTTTACTAGTATAATAAACTAGTTTATTTGCTTTGGTTCATTTTAATCATAGAGCACATAAAGGCCTGGAGATTACTAACTGGCTGGACAATCAAGTGACCTTGAACATATCACTTAATCGCTCTATTCTTCAGTTTATTCATCTGCAAAATGAAAGGGTTGGATTGGATGACCTATAATAGTTCCTCCAGGTGCAGTGGCCTATGTTTTTATAATAAAGACTGTCCGGTCTCTAAGTCTATAATTAAAGTATAATCACATGCTTTTTATATGAAATTAGAGAATCTCCACAGAACTCCTAGTATACCTGCCACAAAGAATCATTTGTTATCATTTTGCTCTACTACTACTTGTTTTTTACTTCCCGAGCTACAAATAAAATATGAAAATGAAAATGAAAATTGAGGGGCTGGTGAATAGTGTAGCTATACTTGCCTTGCCCGCAGTCAACCTGGCTCGATCCCCAGCATACAATATGGTCTCCTGAGCACTGCCAGGAGTAATTCCTGAGTGTAGT